ATATTGATATTTTGATATTTTTGCATACCCCTATTTAACACACAAAACCGTACTGTATATTTAGGCTGATTTCTTCTCTCGAATTGAAAACACTCTGTTCCACCTTTGTGATGTCATGTGGTAATACAAGAAGTGCTCAACTGTGTTTTTAAACTCCATACACCTTCAATGTAACCATTTGGATCATTTTAAACCTGGAATTTCCAACCTCTACCAAAGCAAAAGGAGGTAGCTGATAACTTGAAAACTACCGGTTGTGGAAGAGAGCATTTTGAGCTGTGGAGGTGTAGACATATAGGATTACTCAAACATGCGTGAATGAAACAAAACACAATCCCTGGTATGTTTCTGAAGAGATAGCAGCATTATAACATGGCTTAAAAATCACAAGAGTCAATTTTGTGTAATACGGGATATTTAAGTTAGAAAGTATTTACATTTGCATTTATTTTTCACTCTTTACTCCCCATTACTAAAAAGAAAACATTTTTGATTTGTGTATTTTGAACAAAGGTCACACAATCTTGCTAGACAGGAATATACAAAATAAATAAATAAATAAAACAACAGTAACTTTAAATGTATTTCTCAGACATAGTTTTATGTGTCTAATCTGTTAAACTCCCACACACATTTCCTTTATGCTTTTACAGTCTACATATTTAATAGTCGCATTGATTTTGGAGACTTGACGATTTGTCTGTCTGGTACCAAAGCATTAAAAGTGTCATAACAAATGGCTACAGGAAACAGAGCGGAGATTACAGGAGCTGAAGCCTTAAAATGAAAATAAACTTTTTAAAGGTGCCCTACCTGACTTTTACTGTCTTTAAAACGTGAAATACTGAACAAGTTCATTTTAAAAGGTCTGCAGTGCTCCAAAGTTATTCCTCACTTAACTTGTGCATCTTAATTATTCACCTCAATGACTTTATAAGCACTTTTCATAACTTTCAAAGGCGAGTTTGGACTTTTGCTGTCATCATTTTCCTAACAACTAGCATGCTAACAGAGCACTTCCACATTCTCATTGGATTTAACACTTTAGAGTAGAGTAGAGTTTAAATGTCCTATATTACACAAAATTGACTTTTGGGAGCTTTAAGCCATGATTATCCAAAGTTTACACCTTGTGATGTCATGAAGCTGTAGTTTTCAACTTAACAGCTACCTTTTACCTTTTGTTTAGTCGAGATTGGCAATTCCAGGGCTGAAATTATTCTAATAAAGGTGTCTGGAGTTCAAAAACACAGTGGAGCACTTCCTCTATTACCACATGATATCACATATATCATGGAACACAGCCTAAACTCTAGCTAAATATGCAGGTTTTGTGTGTTAAACATGTGTGAATGAAACAAAACACAACTCCAGGTATGTTTGTGATGAGGAAACAACATTATAACATAGATCAGAAAATTGTGTAATATGGGCCTTTTTAGAACCACTTGCACAATACTGAGGTAAAACTAATTTCGCTCCCTACTTTTTGTGTAGCCTCTCTCCTTACATCAATATAAAATGTCTGCCAATCATTTCTGTGTTTTGAATTGACGGATGCAGTTTTGGAGTTTGTTTTCTGTTTTCTGAAAAACTACCTTCATCTTATCTGATTTGCGGATGATTTTTATTTTCCTTTTCAATTTGGTGCGGAGCTTTTTCCACACCGGGCGCTGCTGTGATCCTCGTGGTGCTTGGTGTGTTTACAATCCTCTGGTATTTCTCGTGTTTCCACTTGTCTGGCTTTGATAGGTGCGTGTCTCCGGCGATGGGGGAATGGGCTTTACAACAGCGGCCTTGTGTCCTCTTTCATGTTCGTTTTCTAAAGTTGCGGTGGGGAGATTTCTTAGAAGCCTGTTTTAAGTCCACGCCGTTTGAATGTGAAGTCCCTTTGGAAAACTATTGCACTTTATTTGAGTATATGGTTTATTCTGGAGGACAAATGTCATTTTTTGTATCTGCCTCAACATCGACATTATAATAGCCCTAATAAAGTAGCCCATTGATTAAAGGGCCCATATTAGTCAATTTACTGATCTGTTATGTTGTTTCCTCATCAAAAACACAGCTGGAGTTTTTTGGAGTGTTTTGTTTCATTCATACATGTTTGAGTAAGTCTTTGTTATTAGTCTGTCTACATTTTCAGAGCTCAAAATGCGCTGTTCTATCTTGTGATGCAGTGTGGTCATTTAGGAAGTGCTCCACTATGTTTTTAAACCCACTAGAATCATTTGGATAATTTCAGTTTTGAAATTGACAATCTCTGCTGAGCAAAGGGTAAAATGTAGCTGTTAACTTTAAAGACAAAGGAGAAATTGAATTTGTCAACTGGACAAATGTTTAGTTAGGCTGAAAATGTTTCACAGTTCGTCCAAGCTCCTGCTTCAGTTCTGGTCGGAATGCTGGTGGACACTGCCTTATATCTGCCTTCAAGGAGGAGCTAACTACACTAAAACTACTCTGAAACTGACACCCTACTTTTTTACAGTTTGTTTGATACGGGCCACTCCTTTGAGTATAGTGAGGTACAGATCCTAGCCACAGAAAATAATTGGTTTGAGAGGGGAGTTAAAGAGGCTATTTTTGTTAGGAAAGACAATCCTTCCTTGAACAGAAATCGAGGCCTCAGACATCATCTGTCTCCCTTCTACAACTCCATCCTCAAACCTAAAACTAAGAGAAGAATAGGAGTAGCGACATCAGGCCCAGAGGTGTGAAAACAGTCATTATGGGCCTGAATTATTATGCTAATTTAAAACCACACTCAGGACAGATGAATAGGCCTAGGTTAACCGAAACTGTTTACAAGTAGAGTGTTAGTTTCAGAGTAGTTTCAGTGTAGTTAGCAACTCCCTGAAGGCAGATAAAAGGTAATGTCCAACAGCATTCTGACCAGAACTGAAGAAGCAGCTTGGCTGAGCTGCGAAGCATTTTTGACCTTATTAAACATTTGTGCAGTTGACAAAGTGTATTTCTTCTTTGCCATGGAGTCTACCTGGAAGACTGAGGGATTCTACACACATCTTTTTAAAACTACTACATGACATCACAAGTTGGAACAGCGCTTTGGAGATGTAGACAGACTAATATTAAAGAGTTACTCAAAGGTGTGAATGAAACAAAGCACAACTCCAGGTCTGTTTTCGAGGAGACAAGACCATTGTATCATGGTTTAAAGTTCACAAGAATCAATTTTGCGTAATATAGGACCTTTAAGTACTCACCAAGCCTGAATCCTTCTTAATGAATTATGAGTTCATTATGCAAATCTGTGTTCATGCTTTATTAAGGCCAAAAAAGTGTAGTTATTCTAAAATGTCACTAAATACTCATCTTTTAAATCACATTTTTATCATGTCAGACTAAGAAAAGTGTCAGCCCCTTTTTGTTCAATGGCATGTCTTAATTTTAATCCCGTCTCTCACTTAATTTATCCCTGTCACATCTTGCTTGAGGCGTGCAAAACTCAGAAGCAGCTATCTATATCTCTCCTCAGCTTTACGGGGTATTCTTTTACCAGAGGCAGACTTTGGCAATAGTGTGCTCTGTTTCTCAATTACTTCTCCATTTGAAATTTGTGTATCAGTATGCACCAGATGTACTTGTATAGCAGCGACTGGGCCGGCAGTGTCTCAGCGTTTCCCATACATTTCCTTCTATGGTGGTGCAAATACTTTCTACGTTAATATTTTTCTTTCATTCAATTTGTGTGAGTTTAAATGTGACTTATTGCCTTTATTTCATATCTAATTAGGTAGCTCGTCTTGTTGGCAAGTCAAGGCATGTTTATTTGTATTGCACTACTCAAACATAAAGTCATTCAGAGTGCTTTACAGAAAAATCACAGTCCAAACTAATCAACGCATAAATAATCATCATAAAATTAAAACTTAAGGTGCATTGTATAGCTGATGGAGTGCCTGCTACCTACTTGTCTCCATGGAGATTGCTTTGCCTGGAATGTTCCATGGTGTGACATAAATATATACATCCAGCATTTATTCATATCGGGTGTTTCTATTGCTCAAAAATACAATAATTCCTTCTATGAATAGGGGCGACTCTCCACAGATCTAAACTGTTATGTAGTGTAGTGCTGTAACCTGCATGTCTCACTAAGTTAAAATGAGTTAAATTAAGAACAGTTTACTTTACACTTAACTTTATTTGATTGGATTCAATTTGACAAGTAAAATGATCTACCGTTGGGATAATTGTGTTTTTCTTAATTCAAGCAACATCAGAGTTTGTTGCTTATTTTAAGTGCAAATAGTTGTGTTTTTTTCTTATCTTCAGTGTAACTGGGTGTATTTTCCTATTTTCCTATTTCAACTGCACATAATCTTGTTCTAGATAATTTTACTTGTCTTGTGAAATTTGCTCAAATCATGATAAAACTTTCTTAATTCATATAATCCTAATTTGGCTAGATTTCAGGTTGTGCAGTGCTCCCTTCTGATGTGTGTGGAACATTTTAGACAAAGCAATAACGTTTCCATGGAGACAAGCATTTGACCAACCTTCTGTCAGAAAAGCTATACAATGCACCTTTAAAAGAGACTGCCACACTCGTATCCACGCACTCGGTCTCTGTTTTTTTCAGTTTCTCACTTTCACACATGTTTTTGCAGGGAAGCACCAGGAGTGGATAGACGTCCATGAACAAAACATTAATCTGTCACAGACACTTTAAAGGTGCATTGTGTAACTTTTCTGGTGGAGGGTCCATCAAATGCTTTTCTCCATGGAGAGAAGTTCTTGCTTTGTCTGGAATGTTTCACAGTATGGTATTAAACTTTTCTATCATTATGGAGATCAAACCAGGTGCAAGTTACAGGTCAGATCTGTAGAGAGGCGACCCCGCTCAAGCAGGTGGTTGACCCTCCTTGTGAAAGTTACACAATGCGCCTTTAAAAGAGAAGAGACAAGACCGGCACATTCATATCCACACGCTGGGTCTCTGCCTTTTGTGTTTCTCACTTTCACACATGTATTTGCAGGGGAGCGCCAGGAGTGGATAGAAACTCTTCAGACGTCCACGAGCCCCCCGCCGGCAGCTCCCACCAGCGCCCCGCCCCCCTCGCCCCCCCACCACAAACAGGCTGGGAGCTCTGGAGCTGCGCGGATACAAAGGCAGAGTGGTGGTGTCCCTGATGGGGAGCAAAGTCAGGCTCTGCAAAACAGAACAGGTACTTCTAACACCGCGGGGACTTCCTCTCGGCAGGATGACAGCTTCCTGTTTGAGGGGGAAGATAATAATAGTGTAGCTGGGGCAGAGACACATCTGTATTCATACTTAGGGTCCACTGTGGGGCCATGTCTTAGCAAAGTCCAATCCAATCTACTTTATTTTTATAGCGCATTTTATAAACATGATACCACAGATAAATGAAGACAGTAACAATAAAAAGCATTAAAATAGGAAAAGCTAAAAAACAAAAAAAAAAAGGTTGTTAAAGTCCCATTGGAAAACGATTGCACTTTATTTGACTATTTGTTATACTTTGGAGGAGAAACATTATTTTTTGTGTCTGCATACTCTAACTTCTTTTATTAGTCTAAATGGTTGGAAAAAGCATTAATATATGTAGAGAATTAAAAATGTTAAAACAATAGAATGAATAAAACTAAAATAAAAGGCACAAAGGACCATACAACTCACGCTGGGTTAAAAGCTAGAGAATTAAAAAGACTGTTTTCTGATCTGTTATAATGTTGTTTCCTCATCCAAAACATACCTGGAGTTGCGTTTTGTTTCATTCAGACATGCTGAACACATATCTAGGCTGATTTCTTTTCTCAAACAGAAAACACTCTTTTCCACCTTGTGATGTCATGTGGTAATACAGGAAGTACTCCACTGTGGTCCATACACCTTCACTAAAATCATTTGGGTAATTTCAGATTTGGAATTGCTGATCTCAAATAGATGTGAATGAAACAAAACACAACACCCAACTGTATTTCTGATGGAGTAACAACATGATAACATTAAAGGTGCACTGCATAACATTTCTAGTGGAGGGTCTGCCACCTGCTTGTCTTCATGGAAACGTTATTGCATTGTTAGATTAAACCTACTGTATTTATCATAAGTGAGAGAACCAGGTTATAGCACTACATTACAGTTCAGATCTGTGGAAAGTCACCTCTATTCACAGAAAGAGTTAGTCTTTTAGAGCAATAGATACACCCGTAATAAATAAATGCTAGATGGATATGTTTAATGTCATATTATGGAACATTCCAGGCAAAGCAATAACATAACATAATGATAACAATAAAAAAGAAGTGCAGAAAACTTGGACTGTGCACCTTTTAAAGCTCATAAGAGTCACTGTATTCTTCAGTGGTAAATAAAAGACTAAAAAAAGGCAAAAAACTTAAAATTGCTGTCTAAACAATACAAAAGGGACGTTGCAGTAGTGGTAGCAGTGGTCCATACATATGCTGTACTCCCCAGAAGCAGCAGATGATAGTTTTGACCTCCTGACATTAAGCACACCCTCTTTGAAATCATGCCGGTCCAAAGTTCAGTTTAGATCATAAAACTCACAGCTAAATGCTTTGGTGAATTTTTCCTATGGTGGACCACCGTCTAACAAAGATTCGTCACATTTAATCTGATTACTTGTTGCAGCCTTTATAATCTACTAATATGTCTAATTTAGTTTGTAGCCACGGGGAACACATCATTAGAGCGTACATTTTGGAGTTCATTAATGGCAAAATGAAGAGGCTGAGCCAACGGAGACCAATGTTCTCCTGAATGGCTAATTGACAGATGTGAATGTTTTTTGTTTTTTGTTTTTTTTAACTCTGATGTTCGGTACAACACTGCAAAAAGCAATAGCTCCATAAGTTAAAATGACTTGAAGCTGCACTATGTAACTTTTTGGTTGGGGGTCCTTCACCTGATTGTTTCTATGGAGATGTCATTGCTCTGCCTGGAATGTTCCACAGTATGACATTAAACAGCTCTACTTTACATTTGTTCTACTATGGCTGCTTTTATTGCTCAGAAATACTAGAAACGGGCATCCTGACTGTGAACGGGGCTGCCTCTCCTCAGATCTGACCTGTAACTTGGTCTAGTTTGGTCTCCATGAAGATAGAAAGGTTAATTGCCATAGTGAGAAACAGTCTGGACAAAGCATTAACATCTCCATCATTTTTCTTTATTTGAATGGATTTAACTTGACAAAAAAGTAAAATTATCTACCAATGGAATAAGTGTATTTATCACGATTCAAGCAACATTAGAGCTTGTTTCTTATTGTAAGTGCAAAGAGTTTCTTATCTTAAAGTTGCACTGTGTAATTTTTCTGGTAGACTGTTTGTCCCCTGCTTCCCTCCATGGGGATGTTGCCTGAAATGTTTCACAGTACGGCATTACACTTCTTTATCTCTATGGAAACAGCGAGTGATGCCATAGGGCCAAGTTACATGTCAGATCTGTAGAGAGGCGAGTCCACTCACAGTAAGAATGCAAGTTTTTAAGTCAATAAAAATCCACAATATTGAGTAAATTCAAGATAGATATGTTTAATGCCACATCGGGACATTCCAGACAAAGTAACAACATCTCCACGGAGACAAAAAGATGACAGACCCTCCACCAGAAAAGTTACAAAGTGCACCTTTAAGTGTAGAAAGCTATATTTTCATATTTAAGTGAAATTTACTCAACACATTATAATACCTTCTTAGTTCAAGCAGTGTTAACTTGGCTAGATTTTAGTTTTTGCAGTGAAGTTTTTAAATGTGGACTTTAAATACCTGGTCATTGTCTCTGTGTGCTGCTGTGAGGTTACCTGTTTTGGCCCTTGGATATTCAGCTCCTGTGGGGAGACACCAGAGTGGTACTACTCAATTTTACAGCCCCACCTCCAGTTTTAGACAAACCTGCAAATAAAAACAAGTAATAATAGCTTAAGTTCCCAGCTGTGAAATGCAAGTCCAGTTCCAGTGTCATGAGGGTCTTTGTGCTGGTTTCAAGCCAAGGAAATGGGAGTGGGTTGAATCGGGTATGGAATCTGGTAGAATAATCACATTTTCAAATTGAGATTCAGTCATTTATAATCATTAATGACATGCTTTGGTATTTTTTCCATTCTACTGAGTTAAAGGCCATATTACACAAAACTGACTCTTGTGAGCTTTAAGCCATGTTAGAATGTTGTGACCTCATCAAAAACATACCCGGAGCTGTGTTTTGTTTCATTCACAAATATCTGAGTAACCCTTTATTATTAGTCTGGCGACATCTCTAAAGCTCAGAATGCCCATGGATCTATTAAAATAACTGGATACAGTATTGCTAGCTTGTAGCTGCCTGTTGACGTAGTGGCCACTCAGTGTACTACAGTCGAAAAAATCCATCGAGAGAAGATTTTTTCTCATAGAGCGCAATGTAATCACAACCTGCTCGTGTTCGGCTGACGGCACCTACAACTTTCAAAAATTTCGGATTTTGTGGCGATTTTACCTATTTTTAGATCATAAACTTTTTCTGCTCAAAATCCTTCAGTTGTCTTTAAAAAAACACTTTATATTCGTTAGCTCCGGCTCCGCTCTGCTCCGCTCTTGTTCCTCTCGCTCTGATTGGTGAGTACACGAGCCCGCGCTCCGTGCGTGTTGCATTCGCGTGTGCCCGTACTTGCGCATGCTCGGTCGGCCCACGGCCACCGGAAGTACCTAGCCGGGCTGGCTAATCTGGGATCATGCGATTGCGCTCAGTCATTGCTTAATGGGCGGCCAGAACCTGGGGCTTGAGAATGCCGTGTTTCAACTTGTCACGAATCGGTAGTTTTCAAGTTAACAGCTACATTTTTACCTTTAGTTCAGTGGAGATTGGCCATTCCAGGTCTGAAATGCTCCAAACGAGGGGCCCAGTCAGACAACAGTTAAAGCAAACATGCCCTGCCAATTGCCTGAAACTTACACACAAATTTTACAATAGGTGATATTCAAATACTATCGCCCACTGCGCTATACTGTGTCCTCCACTTTTTAAAATTTCTTTAAATTAGCGACCAAGTCTTTGGTATTTTTTGCCCTATCAACATGTAAATTGGCACTGCACATACTCGTTCGATTACAATGACACAGTCCGAATTTGAGATCTGTCGGATGAGTGGTTCGAGAGGCGTAGAACAGACAAACACATAGACAGACATTCCTTGCATTAATAGATTGATGACTCTAAGGTGTATGGAGTTTAAAAACACTTCCTGTATTACCACAAGAGTACCGTATTTTCTGGGCTATTAGACGCACTCTTAAGCCTCCAACTCCATCAAAAAACTACTGCGTGCCCCACAATCCAGAGCACCCTATACACGAATCCACTCGGGTGTCCCAGCACGACTTCAGTAAACTACAAAGCCGCACCACCCACAGCGCACTCAAACACGCACGGAGCAGACAGCGACTGCACAGCGAAAAACACCCACAGCCACACTCATCACTTCACGCGGACGAGGAACGAAACGGAACGGAGGAACGAATTGAAAAAGCGAGTCCAATGTGCCTTTCTGAGCCAAAACTGAACAACAGAGTCACTGCGAACACGTCAACAATCCAGCGGTCCCAGACAGCACCCTCCCTACACACCACAATCGAACAAAGCCCAGAGTCACCGTGAACGCGCCAAACAAAGTCAGACTGACCCATCTAACTGTTGTGTTTCATTTAAAGTCTGGTGCGGTTTATTTGTGAAAAAAGTTCGAAAATAGACCATTTAATGACAGTGCGTCTTATAATCTAGAGCGCCTAATAGCCTGTAAAATATGGTATTTTACGTTTGAGTGAAGAACTCAGCCTAATTATGCAGGATTTGTGTGTTAATCATGTGTGAATGAAACAAAACACAACTCCAGATATGTTTGTGATGAGGAAACAAAATTATAACATATATCAGAAAATAGTTTATATGGAACCTTTTAATATCAGTGATTAAAAGTCTGTATTTTTATGCTCAGAAAAAGTAAAATCAGACACAATTGTATTTGTTTTCACTAAGGTAAAACTAAACAGAATAAAAAATGAATACGTATCAATAGAAGGAAAGGAAATTTTGATATTTTGATCATGCCACCCAACCCCTAGCATCCAAGCTCAAACCTGTACCTTACCAGAATCCAAATTTCTTCACATAGGAGGCAGATGATTCACACTGACAATGAAT